AAAAAACCTCTCATCTTAAGTTGATTTGCTTTGTTTCTGTCTCTTCTGTGCTCTTTCTGTCTTCTTGTGGGCCTTGGTGCCCAAAAAACTCTCATCTTAAGTTGATTGGCTTTGTTTTTGTCTCTTCTGTGCTCTTTCTGTCTTCTTGTGGGCCTTGGTGTCAAAAAATTCTCATCTTAAGTTGATTTGTTTTGTTTCCGTCTCTTCTGTGATCTTTGTGCCTCCCATGCACCTCGTAGTGATGCAAGTGGTGCTGTGGAATGCCGCCGACTTTTTTAGCATTTTCTCTGTCATTTTTGTATCCGATGTGGAAAGTCGGGGCCCAGATTGTCAAAAAACATTGCATTAGTGATGCCCAAAAGTACTATTTTTTGCTGTGTTTACCAGTGTTTTATGAACATTGCCCTTCAAAGCCTTTGAATGCCGGAAAACAATAAAAACATCAAAAATTGTCTCCCGTGCAGGTAAAATGCAACTTTTTGAGGGCAAATAAGCCCAACACAAACCCACCCAAAGCAACTTTTTAAAATTACAGTGTTTTTTGCACCTTCGAGCCTGCCTCAAGACACCCCAAAAGTCTGCAAATCACAATCTCGAACTTTCAACCCCCCCAACCCCCCCCCCAGCAAAACCTACCGGGGAGAAACTCAAAGCGATATTCATCGCTTTCCGTCATCGTGGAAGAATTTGCTGGGAGCCATGTAATGTGTTTTTTGTTGGCGACATGACAGGTGTTTGATTAGTTAAAGGCAATGTGGCACTTCGCTTCATTTTTTGGATATCGACAGAGTATGGCAGCATGAGTCGCCTTTGTTGTTTTAGTCGCCTTCGAGGGGCCAAGGGGTGAGGCAGATGTGTGGCCAAGGTGCTTTAGATTTCAGCAGAAACTTGTTCTTACCCGTGGCCTAGTGGCCTAGTGCTCAAGTTGGCAATGGCCAAAAGCTGTGGACTCTAAAATCTTTCAGCCTTTGGGCCACACATGGCTGTGTTTGGCAGCTTTCGAACAGCCACGCTTCATACGGATCATTCCGCCAAGTTTCTGAGGCTAGACAGTGCAAAGAACTCTCCTCGCAGTATTGTCTCAAGCGCCTCAGACTGGATCCGATGTATCGCTTGTCGCTCGAAGCATGTCAGTGAAGACATGTGCATCTATCTTGTTCTGTTCAATCATTAGAATAGGGAATCCCCTAACAATGGGTTTGGGGGGTCACCCTGCTACACACCCACTTCTTACTTCTGAATGTCACTGCCAAGGCCTAGCTAGCCTGGCCATTTTGGGGGGAGCTGGTTGAAGGGAGTCAGACTCACATGGTGGAATTCACCCAGCATTTGTATAAGTGTTGGTGCGGTCGGCATTTTGTTCAGATTTTCGAAAAGAACACAGCGGGAGGACCCGACCTTGCTTTCGACTTTTGCATTCGACGCGGCCTTGCTCGACGTGAGTTGGCACGTGCTTGCTTATGCTTCAAAGATCCTGTGTTTCAAGGAGTGAAGGTGGTTTGTTTGGGCAATGAGTGGTGAGAGATGGTGAAAAGTCCTTTGGGGGGCAGGACCAAGTTGAAAATAGAGTAGGATGCATATGTATTGTATATCTCGGATACTCCAATTGCCGCCCGAGAGTCCTTTCTTTGCGACTTTGGAGATCGCATCATGTTCCGGTCATTTGATTTCATGACATGTCACAAGTGGCCTTTGCAGTTCGCTACTGACACTTCCCTCTGCATTCACCCCCAAATTTTACCATTTGCATCCAACTTGCAGATCACAGTCAAGGATTCAGAAGGTTCGTTGGTGAGGTTCGTTCCCTGGTCCTGGCCGGTGAACCACCGCGTTTCAACGGCCGACTGATCGGTGCCTCTCAGGTTTGCCGGACATCCCCTCATCAGGCTGCGCGATGGAAAGCTGCGTTTGGTCGTCGTCCTAACTGTTTGGAAAGGGCCCGCAAGTCCAGGAGCCTTCTATCGTACATGAAATCCCATCCTTTGGGTTCAAACCCCAACCCCCAGTGCCATGAGCCATGAGTTTCCAAGATGAAGTGGTTCATTTTGACATATTTTGACCCATCCGATGGGTCAAAGGGAGACGAATTGGGGGTGTCATTCTCAAATCCATGTGCACTCCAATCGTCAGAAAAGTTTGATTTTTAGCGTCCATCAAGGGTGCAGGTGAATATGTACTTCGACATACCGAGAGCAAGTCTTAAATAGTTTAACCAAACATCATTTTTCAAGAACGACCCCTATCTACCAGCCACCATATCAAAGCTAGCATTCCGGTGCGCCATTCCGGACATATTTACCTCTCTCCCAACTCCCAACTAATATATATAAATATAGGTATTTCCAGAAACTTGACGGATCGAGAACAACCCTAAATCATCCTAAATCCATCAGGGCTTTATGCGGGTCAGTGTTTAGCTGTGAAGGTTGGAGTCGTAGTTTTTGGATTAAACCGACATGTGTGGCCCTCTCCACACAGCTTTCAACAATTTTCAACCCACTGTTTGTCGATCTTTCTGGGCTGACATGAGCGTAGGGAGTGATGCTAGACCAAAGGGACAGCCAGTCAAGAGTTGTCAATCCAGGTGATCCAGGCGTATTCCTGCCCAATTGTCTATTCATCCCGGATCCCTGCAAGAGATCTTCTCATCTCGCTCGCAGTGCCCAACTTCCATTTGGACAGCAAGTCGCCCAGCGGTGGAACTTCCTGGTGGAGAGGCGGGGGTGTCGCCGTCGATCGTTACACGATTTTCCCTCGGGTCGCAGGATCTTCCCTGGCCATTTTCTCTATGACATGACATATGACTAGAGCTAAATCTAGAGGAAGACACCAACTACTGTGAGAAGTGTTGCAGTGCAGCTTCGTTCGTGGTGGGAATTGCGGCAGGTCGATCAACAAGGACTGGATAGCCAAGATCTACTCGTACTCGGCTGATCCCACATTCCAAGACAAAGAGATCAGCAAGGGCTACAACCAGTTGTGGGAGATCAACAATGAGTATAAATAGTGCTGGGTGTATATGCCTGCCATTCCCTGCCTTTATAGGGTCATGATTCATGATACATAATATATCATAATGTTCATCATATTCTAAAATACTCTGAAGAGTACAGGCGGATCAGTTTCAACGTCTTGTTGTTTTCGGTTTGCTTCGACTGGATCGACCAGGGCGAAAGCAAAGCATGACGTCTCCGAAGAGCGGAGCTAGCGGAGCCTGGTGTTTGTCGGGGCGCCTGGAAAAGACATGATGTGAATCCTGTCAGTGTTGTAAGCTGTGAATCTTCTACATGAACAAGTCGATAGCAAGTTCTCACAATATTATCATTGTTTATATGTTTCTTGCAAAGCTTGTTGTGTTCACATGTTCATATTATGTGCATAGTAATTTGCATGTTTGGTGGTTGATGTGGTTGGATATGATTGAAATGTGCAGTCTCTTCAAATGTCAAGATTAGCCAATTGTGGTATTGTGACAAGGCTATGCAGAACACACCCTGCAGACATCCACAGAATTCGTAAGTGTGGGAGCGTCAGTCCGAAATTCAGGAGGATGTTTATGATGTTTTGTTGTTTTTGTTCCTACAATTGGGATGATGCTTTCTTTGAATGTGCACTTGTATCATCTTGTATCCTTGGAGGGTGTCACGCTCAAGACTTTGCCATGCGTGGTATGGCAGGTATGGGTTGGCCTCCTTTTACCGGTCGCCAAGGGAGCACTCACTGATCCGACTTAGAGTCTTAGGGGTAGGCTCTTTGCTCCTACTTCTTGGTGACCGCAGTGACCACCTGCGGAGCAAAACTCTCCAAATCCTGTTCACATCGACATGCATTGACACGGCTACATGCGTCTCAGAGTCTCACGTTTTTCTCGTGGCCACCATGGCGGCCTGGACCTCAGGCCTGACAACCATGCAACACCTCAGAAAGACAAAAGAGGAGGCGGGCCCTCGGACGAATGGAGGGGTGATAGAATGGCTGTTTGACATCTCAAGGGCATGGCAACAGGTTTGTTGACTTTGTTTGGACCAAAACCAACCCTTACAGTAACCTTACCCTGTCCTTGCATCAAGGTGTATAATTGTCTATTTCATTCTATTCCCATCTATTCCCCCTTCTAGGAAAGTTGATGCATCACCCAGCCCGAGTGACTGCTGCTTGGGAGTAGTACCCGACTGCCCCCTAAAGCAAGAGGCATGTGGCACGCGCTGACATGCAGCCAAGTGGAAAGTACGGCTACAGGTCCCAAAGGGGTCAGATGGGCTCGGCATTTGGAACATAGATAATTAGTAAGTACCAGCAACAAGAAGCTATTAGGAACAAGTGCCACGCTACTAGTAACAGGTGC